ACTAAAAATACCTACTGTGATTAAATTAAAAGGCTATATATTTCTCTCCCTGCCCAAGCCTCAAACTCAGCATTATCATATCCTGTCTCGAATTTTAATGCATATACTTCAAACTTTCTCGCAAGAGGAACAAGGGAGTAGTCTTTAAACAGCAACGTGCTTTTAACGTTACCATAATATGGGGTGCCTGGGTGGCTCAGTCGGTTAAGCGTCCGGCTTCAGCTCAGGTCATGATCTCACAGTTCGTGGGTTTGAGCCCCACGTCTGGCTCTGTGCTGACAGCTAGCTCGGAGCCTGGAGGCTGTCTTCAGATTCTGTCTCCCTCTCTCTCTGAACCTCCCCTGCTCATGCTGTCTCTCTCTCAGAAATAAACGTTAAAAAAAAAATAAAGTTACCATAATATGGAAGGGTCAGAAGTATGCTTGGGGGTGGGGCCATGAAGCTACTTGATAAAAGGTGCCTTATTTGGCATGAAGTGGTTAGTAACACGTGGCTTTCATTTGGCAACATTCAGTGGGGTCTTTATAGGTTCCTGGCACTGTGGAAGGTGTCTGAATTAGAGTGTGACTTTGTCCCACTGTGCCCTTCTTAGGGACTCTGTCCCACCCGATTGTCCACACCTTGGCCCCAGCTCCCCTCTTCCGGGAGGCCTGTGCTCACCTGCCAGGGTAAGTGTTCTGAAGCCTTGCCCTTGTGTGGTGGTTAAGGGCTGTGTCCCCGGCACCGCTGCAGGTCCAGGAGCCCGCTGTGCGCATCCCCGGACAGGAGCCCCTGACCGCATCCATGCTGGCCGCAGCGCCGCTGCACGAACAAAAGCAGATGATTGGTGAGTGGTTGGAGCAGGAAGCAGGGGGCTGAGAGCTGGCCAGCCTGGCGGGGAACATGCTGTGTGGAGGTCAGACGTGTGGATGAGGCCCAGCTTTGCAGCTGACCAACCTGCGGGGCGGCCTGGTCCGGGTCACCTCTGCTCTCTGGGCCTCCCTCGTCTTAAAACATTGGTCAGACCAGATGGTCCCAAGGTTTCTTCCATTCTGCTGCTCAAGGGCCGTGACAGGCTGGAGGGATCCCAGCTGTGGGCAGCTCTGGGGTCAGGACTAAGGGTCTGGTCTTGGGTTTCTGTTAGTGTGGCTGTTTCTCCCCTCTTCTGGGTGGGAAGAAGCCATCACCGCATGTCCTCTGTCTCCCAGCGCCCACTGCGGGGAGGTGGCAAATAAATGCGCAGAAATGCATATTTACGCATTTCCCACTGGACTGCGAGTTCCCTGTGTGGTTCTCCAGCCCAGTGTCTACGGCAGGCCCTTCCAGAACCCCTCTGCAGTCAGTCCCGATTCCCACCACTTGTTTTCTCAGCTCACTTGGGGTTTTGCCACGTTATGACCCACTCTTCAAAGGGAAATTCTAAATGGGCTTAATGGAGGCAGAGACTCTGTTAGCAATTCCCCGTCCACGTCTTCACTTTCCTCACGGACAAACCTCTCCCACTCGGCACCCCCCCAGCACCCCATCCTGGCCAGACCCTCCACACATGGCCAAGATGGGCCGACCACCGACGCTAGGCCCTGCCACCAGAAGCGCCTGATGGTGGAAGGTGAATTTATCTTGTGTGTGTGGCTTCTCCTACCCGCAAAAAGTCCAGTGCAGCCTTAGCCTGCCTTGTCTAGAATTTCACTCTGTGTACTGGAACTGTTTATTGGGAAATGAACAAGGGCAGGCTTTAAAGTTTTTTTTTTAATATTTATTTTTGAGGGACAGAGTGCGAGTGTGAGTGGGGAAGGGGCGGAGAGAGGGAGACACGGAATCTGAAGCAGGCTTCAGGTTCTGAGCTGTCAGCACAGAGCCCGACGCGGGGCTCGAACCCACAAACTGTGGGATCATAACCTGAGCCGAAGTTGGACGCTTAACCAACTAAGTCAACCAGATGCCCCGAACAAGAATAGTCTTTAAACACCAAATAAGTTTGTGTCAGACCCAGTATAGATTATATCATGGAAGGTCAAATTTGATTCTTCAAATTAGCCTCCAAAGCGGGTTTTCTGTACACTTTACAGTTGAGAAAGAGGCTCCCATGAGGCTGACACAACCCAGAAGGAGCAGTTCTGGGACACCCCCGCCCCCCCGCCGTTCCCCACCAGATCCCTCACCCACCAGATGCCCCACCGCTCCTTTCCACAGTACCTCTCCCACCCCCACCCCTGCCCCGGGGCTGCTGGGATATCAGCCAGGTGTTCCGTACAGGTGAGCGTCTGTACCCACTTATCTATGAAACCCACACCCACCTGGCTGGCAAGATCACGGGCATGCTGCTGGAGATCGACAACTCGGAGCTGCTACTCATGCTGGAGTCCCCGGAGTCCCTCAATGCCAAGGTGGGCCGGGGCCTCGGTGGCGGGGTGCCCTGGGAGGACACAGGCCGCTGCCTGGATGAAGTCTACCTTCCCGCTGAGGCCAGCTGTACCGGTTGAATGCGGGCAGAAGGCCTCAGGGCCGCCCCCTCCAGCCCCCCCAGATTAACTCTCTGCAGCTCCCCGTCCCAGGCTTCGGCAGGGCAGCCTTGTCCTGACTGAGGATTGGGCTAAGGTTCTCTGGGCTGCCCGGCAGCATCCCGTCTGTCTCAAGAAGGCGACAAGTGACGCGCCTGTCATGTGGGTGCTTGCAAACAGCAGTGCTGTGGAGGGAGGACACTTGTGGCATCTAGTGGGCTGAGGCGGTGGGTGGCCGGGCTCTCCCGGGGACCCTGCTGGGCAGCTGCCTTCACCTCCCCCCTCCCCCACCCCCAGGTGGAAGAAGCTGTGGCGGTGCTACAGGCACACCAGGCCACGGAGCTGACCAAGATGACTGTGCTCTGAAAGCAGGTGGGTGGCCGGGGGTGGGAGAGACGGAGACGGAAGGAGCTGCGAGCCCAAGAGAAGCTGGAAAGGGCCGGGCAGGGCTGACTTTCAGAAACCTGCGGAGAGCCATGTTGTCGCCGGCTGTCTCCCAGGCACCGAGGACTTTGGGGGAAGCTGCGAAGCTCAAAGGAGCGGACAGACCGTGAGACGAGGAGTGTCAACCACTGGGCCAAGTGCGGCGGTTTCTCGCCCTCTGCCCGGCCTGGCCTCTCCGCGCATAGGCTGGGCCATCCCTGGGCACTGCCTGGCTTCGCTCTGCCTGCCCGGGGGCCCTGCTTGGTCTGCTCTGCCTTCTCAGTTGAGGCTAGGTGTCTGCTGTACATTAGAAGCATTCATTCCTCTCCTTTCATCCCCAGAAAACCAGGATCCTCACTCCCTCCACTGACCAGAGAACGGCGCTTCCTGCCCTTGGCTCTCTGTCCCCCAGAACCATAACTTATTTCCCACTTGAGTGTATCTGTACTTGAACTCTGTATGTGGAATGTAGGCTGGTCCTTGCCCCTCACCCCCGCCAGTCTGTCACCTTCCCTTTTGTGCATTAAAAGTGCTGCAAACTGTCTTGTCTCCCAGGAGGCCTTTTTGTGTCTGAGGGAGGTGGGCCAGAGCCAAGGGTGGACTTGACTGGGTTGGGAATGTGGCTGGAAGACACAGAAGCCCAAAGAGTTATGGGAGGAGGTATGTGTACCAGACCAAGACCACCAGGTCTCGAGCAGAACCGTCTGGAACGGCCCCAGAGGAGCAGACGCCTACCGGGCGGCGGCGCAGCACGTGACAATGGCAATCTTCACACGGCACCGAGCGAAGGAACGAAAGCTACAGGTGCCCACACGTGACGTGCATGGAGTTTCTGGATGCCTGGCTTGCGTACCCTGCAGTGCAGGTACATACATCCTGGAAGCAGCAGCTCCTTGTAGGCTCTGGGCGGGCTGGCTAAGGGCCGTGTAATACTGTTAGAGAAGAACCCACGTAGAATTGCTTTAGGATCCCTTCCTAGGTCCTGGGTTTACCTTCCATGTTTTCATTAATAAATCAAGATACTTGCCTTCTAGACTTCAAGAAGAAAAAGTCTGTCAGCTGTGAACGGATGGCACCACTAAACCTGCCTCCAATCAGGTAAGAGTCGTGCCTGCCTAAGAGCTGACAGTAGGGGCACCTGGGTGGCTCAGTGGGTCAAGTGTCCGGCTTCGGTTCAGGTCACGATCTCAGTTAGTGGGATCGAGTCCCAGGTTGGGCTCTATGCTGACAGCTCGGAGTCTGGAGCCTGCTTCAGCCGAGGTCGGACACTTAACCAACAGGCTCCCCATCCAGCTCTGCACTTTGGTCCCTTGGCCATGCCCACGGAGTCTGTCCAGACCCTGAAATCTGCGTAGCTTAGAGGTCTGTGGTTGCTCATGGTAGAGACTCCTCCTTCAGCAAGGTCAGAATCAGTGTGCTAACAGCTGAGTGGTGCTCAGCACAGGATGTGACCGCGAGCAATGGGACCATGAAAACCCTGGCTTCAGTGTCCTCAAACTGCTTGCTGCTTCATTAAGGGGAGACAATTTAACTGGGACACAGGCCAGAAAAGGGTAGCCGCCCGTAGTTCCGGACAAATCCTAAAGCGCTCTCCAGCCTCCCCCACACCACGTTTTGTGAACTCAAGGGGTATTTTCTGGTCCCGGTCCTCCCCCTGTCCTCCCACCTCGGGCCTTTACAGATGTCTGTTATGTCTGCTTGGATTGCTGTTCTGCCTTCTTTACCAGTAAAACTCCCACGTTAGAACTCCGGTCAAGCTCTGTTTCCTCAGGGACCCCTTCCCCTCCACAGGGTCAAATCTCCTCATTTAGGCAGGGAAAGCATCATGGGGCAGCTCCTCTAAAATGCTTAACCTGACTGCCCTTAGTTCCCAGGATTATCCGATTACCTTCTTGCCTTCCCACTGGAGCCTCAACGCTCTGAGCACAGGCACCACGTCTGCTGACTGTGGCTTCACCAGCACCATACAGAGCCTGGCTCGTGCGGATACTCCAGGGAGTGTGTTCGAGTGGATGAGTGCCCACTAGGCAGTGGCTTTTGTTACTGCAGAGTTCAAAGCACAAAGCAGAAAACGCACAAACATAAGCACAGCAGACCTTTTATGTATAAGATGTTTAATGCAAAAGCTTAGACAGACAGTTCAACATCAGTGTGTTTAGTTCAAATTAACCTCATATTACAAAGAACCAAGAAGCTTGGAGGTGGCCACTGTTGAGGTCAACAGGAAGTCCCTGCCCCGAGCAGGACACAAACTTCGAGAAGGCCTTTCTCTCTGTCCCACCTTTGGAAGTGACCACACCTCTGGACCCTCCAAATACGTCAGGCACCTCCACGCGGGTTCGGCAGCGCAGAGCCAGCCAGAGTCCCAATCCTGCATCCCTGCTGGAGGGGGGCCCAGCCAAAAGGCACTGGGGCTCAGAAGACGGGCCTCTGCCAAGGACAGGTGGGGAGGGCAGCCCTGGAGAACCAGCTCAACAGGCTGCTTTGGGTGCCGGTGGGCCAGGGTCTTCTGGTTTATCCCTCACCCGCCCCCACCCCGGAGCTCGGTTTGTGCAGATGAATCACAGTGAGACGGGTCTGGAGAAGCTACAGGGGCAGCGGGTGGCGGCATGCTTGGGGCGGGGACAGAGCCAAGTGCTCTGCCGAGGAGGGCCTGTTTCTGTGGACCTGGGGCAGGAGGAGTGGGGACCGTCCCAGCAAAACAATTTTTTTTTTTTTTTACTACATGGGGCTTAATTTGAACAAGTCAAGCCTCTTAAGGGGTAGGAAGCCATCACCTCCGAGTTGCTTCAGAGCTCACTCTGGGGCAGGCGGGGTCCCAGGAGCAGGCACGGAGGAGGGAGCTCAGGCAGAGGTTTCCCACTGCCCTTTGGGGTTTTTAGTTTAAGCTCTGGTTAACTTCCTGCTGCAACTTCTGGGCAGGGCCGTTCCTGGGCTCAAGTTGCAGGAGACGGGTGAGGTCTTCACAGCTGGATTTATAGTCCTGGGGGAAGAGAAGGGGGTGAGGATGGGGACCTGACTGAGGCAAGATGGAGTGGAGATGGTAGAGGGTCTCACACTGCAGCCTGTAGGCCAGGCCTGAGCTACGTGGGGGCCCCTGGAGGAGAAGGGACAGGGCACCACCCCTCGCCCTGCCATGCTCTGGGAAGGCCGGCCACAAGCCCGACTCCTCAGACGGTGCCTTTCAGTCAGGGCCTTTTTACCTTGAGTGCCTTGTAGGCTTGAGCTCGCCTGTAGAAGGCCTTCACATTCTTTCCATCCAGTCTCAGGGCCTCTGTGCAGTCCTTCACTGCCTCCTTGTACTGCTTCAGGACCAAATGGCAGAGCGCTCTGAAGGGGAAAGACCATTTTGGAGGTTTCAGTCACTGCTTAGAGGCTGCCCACCAGCCATGAGGTGGTTTGAGGGTTGACCTCGGACTCGCCGAACACCTGCTCTGTGCTGGGTACTTCATAGCTTCCTCACCCTCGAAGAACACTGGCCCCTCTTCACAGATGGGACCCACCCACTCGCCCGGAGGGGCGAGGGGCCTGTGCACGCACCAGTGACACTGTGAGGCCCAGATGGGAGCCTGGTTTGCAGGTCTCCACACCCTAACACATCCGGTCATCGCGTGGTCTACTTCACACTCCCGTCCTATGCTCTTCCACACAGAAAAGGCTCTTGAAACCTCTCCCTTGATGGATTAAAAAATCGTCTACCTTAAACAAATACTGGACTCAGGATACACAGGCGGATGTGTTAGCAGTGAGAAGTAAAAATGTCTGCAGCTCGCCCTGAAATGCACCCAAACTAAGAACAGCAATTGGCTGTTTGGCTAAACAGCAATAAAGCAAAGATGACAAAACATTCACGAGGAATTCAGACGGTAGGTATATATGCGGGTGTCCAGTATCCAGTTCTTTCAACTGACAGTGTGAACAATTTCATGATCATGGGAAAAAAACAGTAGCGTACATCATACAACGACACTGCATCTACAGGGAAAGAAAGATGTACATCTTCCTCCATCATTTTCAATTCTTTCCTCCAAAGACAGTCGTGAAAAAACAGGGGTCTTGGAGCTCACTTGCTGTTTTCAGTGAGAACAGAGTATTCACTTGGTTGGATGAACCATACTTATTTTGCCAATTCCTCATCTGTAGACCTTTTTCATCACTTCCAGTCTGTGAATAGATGATGCTGCCATGAGCACCCCGATGCGTAACGCTTAGTGCCGGTCAGGAGGGACCGGTGGGTCAACAGGTACGTGCATTTAGAGCCCTGACTGTTCTTGCCAAAATATTCTCCGAAAGATGCTCTCAGAACCAGTTATTATAGAGCTTATTTCCCTGTAAGTGAACCGATCCTGAGTCTCAACCTTTAACTTATCAACAGTGGAAGAAAACTGTCTCGCTGTTATAACGCAGTTGTTTTACATACGGGCAAAGCTCTGTACCTTTACGTAAGGCTTTTTAACCTTATGAAATAAAATATACCTTTAATGACCTCTGTGGTCCCCACCTCCCCACTCCACAGCTTTAGAATACATTCCCACTGCAAAGTAATTAACCCACGCATTCTTCTAGAACTTAATGGTTTTTCTTTCTACATTTGAAACTGTGGTCCACTTAGAATTTATTTTAATACTCATTGGATAATCCCTCTTTTCCCTTTAGCAGCCTAAGAGAATTTAGCGTATGATATTCTCATTTTTTCCTGACAAACTTTAGAGTCATTATCAGGAATTAAAAAAAACTCTAATGTTTTTACAGAGACTGCATGGAATTTATAAATTAGAAAAAGCTCCCCTTTTACCAATTTTTTTTTTTTAGAATAATGTCTCTGCCCAGCATGTAGCCTGCACCCACAAAATTGAGAGCAGGAGCCCCATACCCCACTGGCAGAGCCAGCCAGACGACCCCACCCCCCGGCACATGCCAATTTAAAAGTAGGCATAAAAGGGGCACCTGGGTGGCTCAGTTAAACATCTGATTTTGGTTCAGGTCATGATCTCACAGTTTGTGGGTATAAACCCCATGTCAGGCTCTGTGCTGATAGCTTGGAGCCTGCTTCTGATTCTGTGTCTCCCCCTCCCTCTGCCCCTTCCCCAGCTTGTGCTCTTTCAAAAATAAACATTAAAAAAATTTTTTTAAATAAAAGGCACAAGTTCTTTGGCATTCTTCCCACTGAAGGGGTCCTATGTTCTCTTCCCTCTAATTCAGGCAGGTTCAGGGGCTGACCAGTAGAGAGAAAAGGGCATGGTGGAACATTAAAATGGCATCTGGGGGACACCTGGGTGGCTCAATCAGTTAAGCATCTGACTTGGGCTGAGGTCATGGTCTCATAGTTCATGAGTTCAAGCCCTGCCTTGGGTAAGCCCTGCTTCTCTCTCTCTCTGCCCCTTGCTCACGTGTGCCCTCTCTCTCAAAAAACAAAAACAAACAAACAAAAAAAAAGGCATCTGGGGATGAGGTATTGTTTCAGGTTCAGTGGATGGAAAATTTATAAAATACAAAGTTATCCTCTAAATTTTTATTTCAGAGAGAAAGCATGAGTGGGGGAGGAGCAGAGAGGGAGAGAGAGAATACCCCGCCTTCACAATGTCAGCACAGGGCTCGATCCCATAACTGTCAGATCATGACTGAGCCGAAATCAAGAGTTGGGTGCTTAACCAACTGAGCCACTCAGGTGCCCCACAGTCCTCTAAATTAAAAATTTTTAAGTTTGTTTATTTTTGAGAGAGAGGCAGAGAATCCCAAGCAGGCTCTGCACTGTTAGCCCAGAGGCAGGGCCTGAACCCACGAACCAGGAGATCATAACCTGAGCCAAAATCAAGAGTCGGACACTGAACCAGCTGAGCTGCCCAGGCACCTCTAAATTAAATTTATAAATCCAGTGTAACCATAACCAAAAGCCCACCAAGATCCTTTCTGGAGGGGCACCTGGGTAGCTCAGTTGGTTAAGCGTCCGACTTTGGCTCAGGTCATGATCTCGCGGTTTGTGGGTTTGAGGCCCATGTCAGGCTCTGTGCTGACAGCTAGCTCAGAGCTTGGAGCCTGTTTTGGATTCTGTGTCTCCCTCTCTCTCTGACCCTCCCCTACTTGTTCTCTCTCTCTCTCAGAAATAAAACATTAAAAAACAAACAAACAAACAAAACTCTCTGGACTCTGTCAAGATGTTCCTAAGGTTTAGCTAGAACGAACCTGGGAAAACAGCCAGTGATGCTCTGAGTAAGAAAAATAAGGAAAAGACCAGCCCTACAAGGTAAAGCAGTAATTAAAGTGTGGCATGGACACACTTGCATGAAAAACTGCATTTAAACAAAACATTGTCCTGAAAGTGGTAAAAAGTGGTAGAAATCCAGGAAACTAGGCTAACAGAAGTCTCTAGCAGTATGAGGTCAGCGAGTCCAGCAGGCCCAGAGACAGGTGTCAAGAGGCCACTGCATAAGCACAGAACACACAGCCAGCGGTCCTTTCTTCCCAGTTAGCCCGGAAGACTGAGGCACTGGGCACCCCTGGTCCAATCAGCCAGTAAAACCACGGGTCCAAAATTCTAAAACCTACCCTTAAAAAGTTCTTTTCAACTTATTTGACACCAAAACCTGACCTGCACAGATGTGAGGCTACTTGGCCATTCTTTAACACTGCCTCAAGTCCAAGGGGAATTCTGCTACGCTTCACAGCAGAAATGTTAACAGTGAGTTTCAGCAAGCTGCCCCAGACTCTGCGTGAGGATCATGTGACTTGGTACACGGACCACATTACCCTTACTCAAAGCTGGGACACGTTTTATCCCAAAAATTTCCATAGGGAATGGAGACCCTACAGTAGATCCAAGATTGGTGTTTCTTTTTTTTTTTTTAATGTTTATTTTTGAGAGAGGGAGAGGTGAGCAGGGGAGGGGCAGAGAGAGAGAAAAGAACCGCCAACAAGCTCTGCACTATCAGCATAGAGCCCAATTTGGGGCTGGAACTCAAGAACCAGGAGATCGTGACCTGAGCCAAAGCCAAGAGTCAGATGCTTAACCCACTGAGCCCCCCCACGTGCCCCGAATCCAAGAGTTTTGAACTAAAGAGTAATATATGTATGTTAGCAAGAGAGGAGAAACAGACTCATAAGGTTTTATCGTATATCTTTTATGACAAATGTTTGGATCAGATACGGTCCCTTGCTGAATGTTTCAAGCTGCTGACAGTAAAACTAATAAACAGATCTCACTGGAGCCAGGTTCCAATCCTGTCTCTACCGTTTAATGGCTGGGTGAGCTAAGGTAAAGCCCTTCCTGCTCTGAGCCTCTGATTTCTTGACTTTTAAAGGGGAAGGCCACCTACCACCAGTACATCAGGAGTGTGTTGCAAAGCAGTGACTCCCACACCACAAAAGGGACGGTGCCCTCGCTATGGGTGGAAAGAAGCACTAGCCCCAGACAGCAGTTCATGGTGCGCGGTGTTCAACAGCGCCACCCACAGGTCAGACCCTTCAGGCAAGACCATCTCTTGCTCCCGGGCCAGGCAGTCGTTAGTCCACACCCTGGGTCCTGCCCTAGTGCTGAGACGTGCCAACACTTCTAATGGGAGGGGCTCAGAGAAGCCGTGGGAGTGGAGGAAGGGGGCAGGTGAAGAGACTCGTGCTGAGGCTTTTACTTGTGGAGTGTGCTTATTTGGATAAAATCTGAGGGGGAGAAGGGCCGACCAAGCCCAGGCTCCACGCTGGCATCGCTGTTTCTATTCCTCTAAGGTAGCGAACGCCGTGGGCAACACCTGCCTTATGGCGACCAGAACACGTGTGGATGCGGGTTTGGAGCTACAACATGCTGACTAAATGCCAGGAATGAAGAGCCCACCCCAGTCTGAGAGAGGACTCTGGAACAACGGCCAACATCCTAAAAGCCCCCGGGCCAACAGCTACGTGGAAGATACCTGTTGCTGTATGTGGCGGACTCCATGTCACTAAATGAGAGGCTTTCACTGTACTTCTCAATAGCTTTCTTATGGTTTCCCTTCTTTACAAGCTCATTGCCTTCTTCCTTCAGAGCTCTGGCTCTCTCCACATCCCCAGCAGAAGGCACTAGATACAAATTCAGAAGAGGAAAAAGCCATGGAGCGGGTGCCCAACCGAGATCCACGAGGCCTCACGGGAATCATCTCTTCCAAGTCGTCTGCCACCCCCGTGCCCCCCACCCCCCGAGATCCCTACGCTGCCCTAAAGCAGCCTCCCTGATGAAGGAGTCCCCCATGCAGCTTCTGGGAGATTAAAGAGTTTTTCAGTCACAGCAGGCTGGGGACTCCTATATAAAAACATACTCAGACATACACGTAAGAACAGACAGAACTCGGGTTCTAGCCCCGGCATTGCCACTCAGGAGCTGGGGATCTCATGGGGCCCAAGTCCTCTGGACCTCAGTCTCTCCATGCAGCGGGACACTACCTACCCCACACGGGGCTAGTGTCAGGACGAAACTGAGTGCACCCCACAAAGTGCAGAGCATGCTATATATAAACTTAAAGCAGGAGAACAAGTAAATGAGTGTGTAAATAAGCAAGTGTCTGAGAAAGGGTGTAGCTCCCGGGCTTTCAAAAAAGGGCAGAAAAGCCCGCCATCCTCATTGTGGCTTTGGCCCTAATGTATCCTCCCTCAGCCAGTGAGTGCAGCTCCGCCCCCACCCTCATCGAGAGGGCGACAAGGTGAAATGCAAGCTGCTCACGTGGCCTTCCGGCCCATCACTGAGCAGCCCCAGACCATTGTTCCAGACCCAGCAGACCCAGCTCCCATTTCAGCCATTTTTGTAATTTTTAAAAACTACCTTTATAAAATACTGAGTATTTATGGCATGGGTAAGGTTTTAGGAAGAGAACTAACACCCTTGAATTTATCCCTCACCTTAACAGAACATTCGCTAAGACCTTAAAAGTCCTGTGGGGCCCCCTCCCCAAATTAATCCACTCCTGGAAGAAACCATCATCCCCAATCCTGCGCTTCCTTCCTCCCCTTTTTCTTGGTAGCTTAACTATATACGATAGTTTCTGTAAACCCTTTGCTGTTTGTTTTGGTTTTAACTGCATATAAAAGAATAAACAATTCTAATTATGCTTCCTCGATCTGGTTTTGTTTTCTCCCCTCAGCAACGTATTCCTGAGATTGATTCCTGTGTTGATGTGGCTACAACTGACTTGTCCATTCTTCTTACAGACCTGGGTTATTTCCATTTTTGTTTTTGCTGCTGCAAACATGCTGCTGTGAGCACTCTTGCACACATCTCCTCTGCACACGTGCACGAGGTTCTCTAGAAGCAGACGAGGTTCTCTAGAAGCAGAGCCAATGGGCTGCCGTGTAGATACGGCTTCAGCATACCCACGCTGCTCAGGCAGGGATTCCCACTGTTCACCTGCAACAGCCACACGCTGCGTTCTCTCTCACCGGCACTTCCTCCAGGAGTGATCCGCCAAACCCCTCAAGTGAACACGTTAGTTCCTATTTTGAACTCCCCAGATACTAAAGACTCTAAAGCAACTCATTCTTCCTCCTGTATTTTCTTTTTTTTCTAGTAGGCTCTACCGCCGGCATGGGGCTTGAACCTACAACCCTGAGATCAAGAGTCATGTGCTCCACTGACAGAGCCAGCCAGGCGCCCCTTTCCTCCTGTATTTTAAAAAGCTGTTTATGTGTCTGTCTTTCATTAGAGTGAGAGCTTCCTGAGGGCCAAGCCCGCCTGCCATCTCTGTGTCACACTGCCTAGCACAGCACCTGCAAAATATAGGGCTTGGGGCTCTGAATGAAGGAAATTAATGGTAGGTGCTGAAGCCAGCTAGTTCATCAGCACCCCACATTTTCATTATGGAGAACGGGGGACACTTAGCAGGCTTCCACAAACCAGAGTAAATGCTACCCATGGTCAGATAGGTTCCCTCCCGGGAAGGGTTGTTCACCTGCCCTCCCCTGAGACCCACGGCAAGGCTCCAGCCCGCACACCTGCTGCACCTCCTACCCTGACTCCCTAGCCTGCTGGGCCCAGCTGAGGCCCCTGGAGCACTGGGGAGCTTGTGCCCCAAGAACGGCCTCTCCATTTTACTTGGTTGAGATGGGATCATCTCATCTCTGTGTTACCTGACTTCCATCTCTCTTCTCTTACTCATCCTCCAGGGCCTCCTGGTGTGGGTGTGTGGGGGCGTGTTCGTTGGTTCCTTCCTGGGAAAGCATCACCCTCAAGCTAAGAAGGTGGGACAGATGGCTTAGGGTGGAGCCCATCACAAAGTCTCAGCCCCCGATCACATGACTAATTCAGACAATAGCTGACCAAATGAGCCAGAATCATTGAGGAAACCTGTGACCTAGGGATTTAAAGGAGAGAAACCCTCTCCTTCTTAGGGAGCTATTAGAAGAAACCAACCTTCTTCTCTTTCTCTGGGCCACGAGGCATGCCGTATGGACACGAGGCCAGGAAGTGCTACAGCTACTTTGCTACTAGGAGGGAAGATGGCCCGAAGGCAAAGCCAACCCACCAGAGGAGAGAGCTGAGAGGGGCACGGAGAAACTGAATCAGAGTCTGAGACCGTCGTGAGCTGCTGGAGCAAACCTTGCCTGAACCTGAACTTTTCAGTTACGTGAGCCAATACATTCTCTTTGTTATTTTTACCACGTTGAGCTTCCTGTTCTTGCTACCAAAACCATCCTAGATGACCCATCGCCACGGCTGCCAGAGGAACTAATGCCGTACACCGACCCACCAGGCCGGGAGCTCCACGTGCCTTCTATCACTTCATCTGGGCGGTGGTGGGTGGGCTTTCTCATCGCCTCAGTCTCTAAGAAGTTAGGACTTTTTGTTTTTATTTTTTCTTTTAATTTTTATAGCTCAGCTTAACCAAGGCCAATTTATAGAATTAAAGTGGCTACGGGGAGACTATACCACTCCTGGCAGGAAGTCACAACTTACCTCTGCTCTTTGCAGTTGTGGTTTCTTTGACTTTGCTTTTAGCTGTCTCTCTGCGGCATTCTGCGGGCAAGGACTCCCACCTCTTCTGAGCTGAAATAGGCACCAAGGGGGTGGAGGGCAGCTTCAGGCGCCACTCGGGCCCAAGGGAGTCCACAAGAGCTCTGCTCATCCTGGAAAGGCAGACAGAATTACAGGGAGGTTTCCGGCTGGGTCTGGAAGATAGCATTCTCTCATAAATCCAAAGTGGGCATGTGAGAGCTTCCACCTCTTTATGGCCTTCTAACACACAGTGGGAAAGGGACAGAAGTCTGCCATCATGACAGTCCCTTCCTGCCTGGCCCTCACCTATGTTAATTTCAAAGTGGTGACTGCTGCTTATGAAGGGTACTTAAAACCTTATCCCTAAAAGACCACTCATCCCCCAAGAAATGTTTATTTTTTATACATTTTTAATGTTTATTTATTTTTGAGACAGAGAGAGATAGAGCATGAGTGGGGGAGGGGCAGAGAGAGAGGGAGACACAGAATCCAAAGCAGGCTCCAGGCTCTGAGCTGTCAGCACAGAGCCCAACGCAGGGCTCAAACCCACGAACTGTGAGATCATGACCTGAACCGAAGTCAGACGCTTAACCGACTGAGCCACCCAGGCGTCCCAAAAAGACGTGTTTTATACCTTCCTAAAGGATCTATTACAAGGCCGTGCAAGCACCTGACATTGGATCAATGCTGTGAGATTTTTAAAAAGTGTAAATATTCGGTCATTCTCAGTTTAAGATCCTTCAAGAGTTTCCATTTGCCTAGGCTGACAGGGCGTGAGACCCGGCCCCTTCCCGCCTCTCCACTTTCACTGCGTGCCACGCTCCCTCTTGATCTGTCCGCTCTGGCCCTTGCACATACTCTTCCCTCTACCCGGAACAGTCTCTGCCACCTCCCGTTCCCCATCTCCCCCTTCTGGGCCCAGCTAATTTGCTTCAAATCCTGCTCAGGGACCATGTCCGTTTTGTATGTGCTTGGCCAGTGAACAGAGCCAACAGTGTGCTTTTTCTGCTCCAACGACTGTTTCCTTGTGTGATCAGAATGAAAGCGTCACGGGCTGGCATCACTGCAAACTCGTGTCCTTGCACTCGGCCCCCAAAGCTGTTTTCCTGATTGGCACAGCTGTTTCAAACCTCTACCCTCCTCAGCCCAGCTCCCGAACCCTCCTCCTCTTTTGGGGGCAAACTTCCTCACCCTGCAAAAGCCAACCCGCCTGCATGGGCACCCACTCCTTCCTATTTCTCTCCTGTCACGAATGACAGAATGATGAGGCCAATCTCTCCACCGAAGCCCTGGGCCTCCCCTCTCGCTGCCTCTCCAGGAAGCATGGTCAACATCTCTTCTACAGCTTCCACCTTGCTCTGTGCCTGGAGACCAGCCTGGAGACCCTACTCCGCCCCCGCCGCTGGACGCCTCTGCCTCTTCACAGCCAGACATCTTGAACTGCTGCTTTCAGAACCACCAGGGACTCCATTCTTAAACCCAGAAGTCCATTTAAGCTCATGGCAACACCTGACAGGAACGAGGGCTTCATCCTTCTGGAATCACCTTCTCTGAAATGCTTCAAGTTTCCTCCTTCCCTCCAGCTGCTGTTCTGGAAGTCCCTCAAATGCTGCAATTTTCAAAGCTCTGGCCTCTCCCCGCTGCTCACTTGCTGCAGGGGTCTTCTGCTCTCCCACAACCTCGATCCACCTCTAGGCTGATGTCCTCTGAAGCCAAAAATCTGCCCTGTATTTGTCTCCCTTGCCTCTAAACCCATGGAAATACCCAACCACTATCCTTACGTCGCCTGTCTCACGTCCCACAGTCCCCTCTAATGTGACCCGTCAGCCTCTGGGATGTTTTTTCTATTCTTCCCTTCTCACCACCCAACACCAAATCTCACTGAACCAATGTGCCCGGAACTGGTCCTGCTGTCCTCTCTCCACTACCATCTCTTCTGAATTATTGCCCAGCCCTTCCTACCCTGCTCTCCTTCAGGCATCCCTCGGCACGGAGGCCAGTCAGCTTTTCTCTCAAATCTGCTCACGCCGTCCCCCTGCTAAAGCCCCTTCCACAAAGCCTCACCATGCCTGGATTAGGTCCAGGCCCCTGAATGCCAGGCCCTGTGTGATCTGGCCTCGCCTCACCCATCCGAGCTGAGCTCCTCACCAGCAGCACCAAGCAAAATGGACTTTTTGCAACTCCTGGAAGCCATGATTCTTGCTCACCCTCTACAGGTGACGTCCAAGTTGCCCTGACCCCAGATGTCTATTCATTTGTCAGCCGCAGCTCGCCTCCTCCGTAAAGTCTTGACCAGTCTCCTTCCTCCCCCTGGTTGGTCAGGCGCCCCTTTCTGCCCCTACGGCCCCCTGGACCGCCGCCTACCACAGAGCTCGACATACTGGGGTGCGCTTGACTATAACTGGGTTCCCCATGAGCCTGGGGCTCCATTAAGGAGGAAGAGCTGTGCGTCAGGCATCAGCCCAGGCCCTAGGGCAAAGGTGGGCACACAAGCAGCAGATTCTGTTGGAGGATAGAAACTAAAAGGAGGCAGAGAAAAAACAAGTGAAGGTAAAAATGATGCACTAAATACATACCATGAAGTCCCGTGAAAGGTTTGCTACAGTGTCATGTCGGCTTTCTAGCAGCCCATGCAAAGAGGGGAAACATGATCAGATACACAGACGAGGGCATCCATGACGTACAAACCACCACCCAGAAGCCCAGAAAGCAATGCTGCCTGATGGGCCACGTGAAGGGGTCACAGCACAACGTACTGAACCATCCCCGAGACCACCACTCATGGCCTTGTGTTGAGCTACCTGTGCACCGTCTTACTTTCCCCGCTCTAGTTAGGTCTGCAGAGCAAGGGGGATCTTCCCCACTAAAGCTGGCACAATCCTTTAAACAGAGCTCAATAAACTCTCATGGTGTGAATGACTGAGCAGCCAGGCAAGCAATCAATCTTCCAATTCTGACCCTGTTCACACCTGCACACGACAGCTGACTCTCCTTCCGCACTTTCCCCACATGCTCATTAGGAGTTTCTAAGCCCAGCCCAAAGGGACCCCCAGGAGATGCCCAAAGCCATGGCCCAAGCAAATCCAGGAGGACAGGGAGTTCCAGAGAGACTGCTGGCAGTGGCTCAGGCTCACCTGTTGATGCCTTCCAAGGCTGGCGTCACGCTGTCATCGATTTGCAGAACAGTCTTGTAGTCGACATAAGCCAGGGGGTATTTCTCCAGAGCCTCATAGGCCGACGCTCGCCGCAGCAGGGGCTTCATGCTGAAGGGAACCAGGGCCAGGGCTCTAGAGCAGGAGGCACAAACGTCACCTGGCTGCTGAGCCACTGGGGCTCCCGTGCAGCTCCTTCCAAGCAGGGTCATGTGTAGCATTCAGTATACAGGAGGTCACATCTGGCAGAGACACTGCTAAAAATATCAAGCCTTAGAAGAGGGACTTTCCAACTTGGACTGCGGTGGAGAAGGGATGACGGGCAGAAGACCACTCACACTGTGAAACCTGGGTGCCCACCCATCAGTTTTCATGGTTGCAATCCCTCCTCCCCACTCCTGCTCCCCTCAAGCCAAGAACAAGTGCCTTGTAACTTTCAGTCTTCTAGGTGCTTCTAAAGAGGCTGACCTGGTAGGAAAACAGGCCCTGGAGTCAGATGGAGTGGTGTTGGAATTCTACCTCTGCCACCAACCACGTGACCCCAGGCAGGTCACTTTACCACCTCAGTCCTCTGCAACCCAGTGCTGGCCTGGGCAGGATGGTAAACTTACCCCGCAGAGTGGTCATGAGCACTCCAAGAAGGAAACCCAGCACGGGCCCGGTGCAAATGAGCTCAGCGCAGGCTCCACGAGCCTGCTCACCTCTCCCCCTCTCCCACCCATCACCAGGGCACGAATCTAGGGCAATACCACAGGACACTGGATCTGAGAACATGAAGTCGTGTGTGCTAGCTCAGTGAGGAGGAAAGAAGGCAGTAGCAGACTGGCTTGGAGAAGGAAGAAGTATGAACAACTGTTTAACTTCTTTTACCCCTGGTCATCGATGGGAACCTTTCCCTCCTAGCTTCTTTTGAGGCTAGTAGTCACTAAGCTCTATTCCTCTTTCTTTCCCTCCCTTGCTCCCACACACATCCACCCCAGGAAAATCCTGGGCAAGCCAGTCACCTATCTGCACCTCAATCTTATCATCAGGTCCCAAATCTCAAAGGCCTTTAAGGCCCACCTCTAACTGCCCACCCTACTCCTTTCTCGGCAGACTCCAAAGACACAAGTTATCCTCAGTGACCCAGTGGTCATTTCCAAATTATCTGGCATGGCTATAACCGGTGGGATCGGTCCAAAGAAGAACACAGGCCAGATAAACCCAGCATCCTCTCCTGAGACCCCCCCCAGACCCCCAAGGTCACCCCTGCCCACTTACGAAGTGCAATCCTTGATGCAGTCCCTGCAGTTGCCATCCTTTAAGTGGCATGCTGCCCGGTTAGAGTAGAGAATACTTTCTTCTTTGGGGTTCGAAGAACCTGCCCAGGTGGAAGCAGACAGCACGAGGTTATCAGGGTGGGAAATAGACGCCCTGGGGTGTATTTCAGGCCCGGAGTTCTCTGGGCTTCCTGATCAGGCTGGTTGGTCCGATGGGCTGCCAGGCTTGTCGTTCTTACGTGGCAGCGAGAACAGGAAGCTTCTGGCCACTCACAGGGAACCAAACACCATCTCATTCACTGACTCCAGCACTGAACTTAAGACCAGGCAAAAGACAAGACATGAACTAGCTGGCTTCCGCTTGAAGAAATCCATGCTGCAACTACACGTGCACATGTGTGTGTGAGAATTTTGTTACAAAACTCATGTAAACCCAACAAAAAGGGTTCCTAAAAAAGGAAAGGATATGTGATACATAGACTGAACAGGGTTGTGGGGATATAAAAGACAAGAGATTAACTCCACTTGGTCAAAGGAAGGATTCAAGCTACCAACAAGCCCGATCAGGAAGCCCAGAGGGAGAAGTGTCAGAACTCTGAAGGCAGTCCTTACCTTCAGGAATCTCAGAAGCCCACGTCATTTACTGTGTAGCCGCAATGACTTTTATTTTCTTAAATGTTTTTGAGAGAGAGAAACACAGAATGGGAGCGGGGGAGGGGCAGAGAGAGGGAGACTCAGAATCCAAAGCAGGCTCCAAGCTATTAGCAGAGAGCCCAACGTGAGGCTCGAACTCACGAACCACGAGATCATGCCCCGAGCCAAAGTCGGACACTCAACTGACAGAGCCTCCCATGCGCCCCCATCTTCCATTTTTAAAATAATTCTTCAACTACTTTATACCCACTAACATAGACCATAACGGAAAACAAAAAAACCCCTGAAAACTACCAAGTGCTGACCCAGTAATCCCATCCTGGGTATATACCCAAAAGAATGAGAAACAAACTCTCTTTTGAAAATTATGAAATATCTAGAAAATGGTATAACATATACTTAACATCCATCGCTGGATTTGGCATACGTTATATTTGTTTCCAGTCTTTTTAATTTCTGATATGGCCAAAGCTCCACTCAACCTCATCTTTTTCTCTTTGCTCCCTCCTCAGATGCCCAGAGGTCAGCACAGTCCTGAGGCTGGGGTGTAACATCCTCCTACATGCGCATCTGCCTGCTTTATTATATCTGCATTCCTAAGCTTTTCCTAAGTGGCACCCTAATGTCCATCCTTCTGCAATTTGCTTTTTTCCACTAAGTATGTTACCATGTTGAGGCATGACAAAAGCTTTCGTTCAATATCAACGGTGACAAACCTAATAAAATAATAGCTTTTCCCCCTTTTTCTGTCAGGCCCTGAGCGAGAGAGCAGAGTACAGAAAAAAGTAAACTATACCCTGGCCCTTAAGGGAAAAGTATGATTACTCGAAGCTTGTAGTCCACGTCAAGTCACCAGAGCGCGCAGAAACAGCAGTGGGGCAGCGGGAAGGGCATCAGAACCTAGACCCCTGTCAGCGAGCTGGCACCAGCCACTCAATCCCTCTGATCAAATGTGCCCACGTGACTATCACGTGACGATACTGCTTCACAGACTTGCTAGAAGGGTTCATTTTGTTAGGTTGCACCCTCCTTTCAAGATCAGCAAACCTGATCACAGAAATCCAGGGATTTCCCTAGAAATTATCTAGAAAATCAACAGCAAGGTTAGAACCGAACGCTGGTCCCCTACTAAATGCTACTAAATGCAGACACCAGGCCAGCCCTTCTAAGGATCCAGAATAAATCCACACAAAAGCACAAGCTTTTCCAGGCCAGCTGGGGTAGGATGAAAGAAAAAAGGCAGAAATATCGGTCTCTCAAATTCATCAGTGACTTCATCAAGTGATGCTGAGATGAGGAGGTGGGCCTAAAAAGGAGTGTTCTAGAAGAATAAGAGGGGGGCAAAATGAGTGACTTCAAACTAAAAAAGTTCAAACAAGAAAGACTGGAATTTGGAGAGGATTTGGGGAGAAGTTTAATAAAGTGATTCAAAACTTGGACTTGAGAACTAGACCCATATTCATATCCTGCCTCTGACATGTCTTCATTGTGTAATTCCACCGGACTCATCTAGAAAGTGTCTTACCCATAGGTTTGTATGAAAATCAAAAGGAATGACGTCGGTAATGTCTAGCACACAGTAAAGCACTCAACCAATGCTAGCCAAGAAAAGGAGAGAAGCAGGCATGGGGAAATCGGTCCTATAGACAACGAGGGCTCATGGGTAAGACACTTTGGAAAAGAGGTTTGGGGCAATGGGCTGTGGTTGGTTAGAATGAGACTCACCTCTCCTCCAAAGTGTCTTACTTTGTCTTACAGAGAGAGAGAGGAAGACACAGAATCTGAAACAGGCTCCAGGCTCTGAGCTGTCAGCACAGAGCCCGACACGGGGCTTGAACCCATAAACCATGAGATCACGACCTGAGCCAAAGTCGGACGCTTAACCGACTAAGCCACCCAGGCGCCCCTAAGCCACCCAGGCGCCCGTGCTACACTTCTATTTAAAACAAAACTTCCCAGTAGCCTCCCATCAAGGAATAAAATCCACACTCCTTACCACAAACTACTGTGTAAAATAAGGCCATTAAGGCTCTGCGATCAAACTACCCTGAACACTTCCTGCTCCCCGCCCCCCTTCACGATGCTTGGACTTGGGTGCCTGAAACTCTCCATGCTCATTTATCTGGGGGCCTTTGTAACGAACAATTCCCTCCACCTGGAACGCGCAGCACCCAAAACTTCGTGCACCTGGCTTCTTCTCATCATTCAGACATCAATGATCACTTCTTCAAAGCTGTCCTTGACCATCCACTCTAAAGGAGCTCCCTAGTCACCTGCCTTACACATCCCTGTATTTGTCTCCGTTGCGGTCCTAATAGCTTTCAGACAGGCCTTGTTTACATCTGGATAAAGAAAATAGGAAATATCCACACAATGATCTTTAAAAATTAGGAAGAAATCCTGTCACGTGCTGTAACACGAACTGCAATGTCCGGGAGGCGATTCTGCTAAGCGAAATAAGCCAGTCCCAAAAGACAAATACCGGAGGACTTCACTCATTTGAAGTACCTAATCAAAACCATAGATACACGAAGTAGAAAGGTGGAAACCACGGGCTGTGGGGAGGAAGGGAAGATGATAGTGTTTGGGGCCTACAGAGTTTCAGTGCTGCAGGTGAGAAAGTTCTAGCGATCTCGGTTGCACGACAATGTGAATTCACCTGACAGTCCTGCGCTTAAAAATGGTTAATAAGATAAATTTATCTTATTAAATTGTGAGGTTTACAATTTAAATTTACAATTTAATAGTTGTGGGGTGTTTTTTTTTTAAACAGCAATAAAACATGTGATAAAACATCCATTCATACGGAAATACGTTTGTGATATGGCAATAAGTGAGAAAGAAACAGTAACAAAACCATATTATACTTGGAGGGGGGAGGAGGGGGCGGGGGAAGAAAGAGCCAAGGAAGTTCCACGCAGGACGCCAAAGCAGGGAGCGGGCGGGAAGGGTGCCGGGTGGCCCCCGGTGAGCCAGTCGGCCGCGGGGAACGCAGGCCCCGGGGACTAGGGGGCCGAGCGAGGTCTGGGCGGCCGCGGGGGAAAGGGGACACCGGAGGGGGAGGAGGCCGGGCGGAGAAACAGGGGGCCAGGGTCGTACCTTGCGCCTCCAGCATCCGCAGCGCGCGGCTGTAGAGCGCCGCGGCCTCGGCGAACTGGCCGTTGCGGAAGCTCTGGTTGCCGGCGGCGCGGAGCCCCTCCGCGGAGTCTGAGGGCTTGGGGACCATCCCGGGGCCGGGCCGGCGAGCTGGGGGGCGCGTCCGTTACCGCGCTGAGGCGTGCGCGACTGCGAGCGAGGCGGCGCAGCGCCGGTGAGGACGCAGGTCCCACGGCCAACCAGCCTGGGAGGGGGCGGGACGGACGGGGCGGGGCCGGGGCGGGGCGCGCCAGAGGCCCTCTGCGCATGCTCAGATTCGGATTCACCTTGCGAAGCGCGCTCGGGTCGCTGGAGCTGCGCGGGTCTCCTGGCGAGGCTGAAACTGCGGATGGAAACGCTGAAAACGAGCCAGGTCCCTGCTCGCGAGGAGCTTACGTTCCAGTGGCAACTGACAGGCTGTCTGTTAACTCTTGAACGAAGATGATAATCTCAGAATGTGATTAGTGCTAGAAGGAAAGCAAAACAGTTCTGTAAAGCCAAGTGACCAACCACATGGGGACTATTTTAGGCGAGAGGGTGGGGTGGAGAAGGCGTCTCTGAGGGACTAATTGAGCTGAAGCCTGAGAAGATTTAGGAGTGCTGTTCCAGGCAGAGAGTGCAAAGGCACTGGGGCTGGAAGGTGGCTGGTACCTAGTGCTCTGTAGATAATGATTTAATAAATGAATGGACTGATAGGTTGGTGAGGATCTTCCGCTGAGGGAAATTTCAGGTATCTTCAGCCTCATCTGACTTCACTCTGTGTCCCACTTTAACTCTAGTGGTTTTTATTGCTTGTTGCTACCTGCGTACATTAAGCTGTTACTCTTGCTTCCTGACCTTTGCTTATGCGCCCCCTGTCCAAGTCTTTTCCAAGACTTCCTCTTGCCCAATCCTGACTCCATCTATAATTAACTCGACCGTCACCTCTGAAAGCCTTTCTTGACTCCCCTTTCGCCTTGCCTCTCTGCTCCTACTGCAAGCAGGGGTTACCCCTCATTTAGCACTCATCACTCTTTGATCCTCAGTTTACAGTTTTCCTCAAAGACTGTGAGGCCTTTAAAGGCAGGACCTAGGTCTTTATTTTTTGCCTCCACAAAACCTGATAGGATCTGGCGCCAAACTTGCAGTGTTGTTAAACACCTGGTCTCTGCCCTCAGGAATTTAGTTACAATTATTTGTGTAAACTCGGCCGCACGACACTGTAAACTTTCTGAGGGCTGAGTGGCTGTTGTGTGCGAACCCCCTCAGTCCAGCACAGGCCCCACACAAGAGGAAAGAATGAACACTTAGTGTGGTGGGGAAACTGAGGCACCCCACTACTGCTCGTCTACTCCACAGCTTCCATCTCTGTTTCCAGAAGTCTGAATTTTGCCTGAGATTCTCCTGGCCCAGGGGATGAATCAGGATTTCATTAAGCCAATCACAATGATCTCACTCCCTTTTGCCAGTGATCAGTCAGGGGGTGGACATGACCCTGATGTGGCCAGTGATATTATGGGATGTCTGCTGGGTGTTTATGAGAAAGTTTTTCCTCTCACATAAGAGGTACAGGACTTCAAAATAACCTTTTTTTGCTCTCTTTCTGCTTTGGGTGTTGCTAGGTCAAGAATATACACCTGGACATATACTCATTTTTGCAGTTGTGAGGCAATCTGCACAGGTATGAAAAGTCCACGTACTGAGCAGGGTGGGAGGGGAAGGATGGAGTTGACATTGTCCAGCCACTGAATCAACCCTGAGACTATTGACTTCTAGACTACTTAATAAACAACAAATGCCAAGGTGTCTTAAGCCACTGTTTAGGTGTTTTCAGTTGCTTGGAGGTGGGTATATTCTAAATGGTATGCCAGATGAGTACACCTGTGGCAAGTTGTATTTTCCAGAGATAAGGAAAACAGTACTTTCCAGTTCTCCACCCACTTCCAGAACTTTGCCACTCCCCATCGAGATGGAGTCTATGTCTGCTGTCTTTGAAACTGCACAGGACTTTGGGGCCGCCTCAACAGTGGGGATGGTATTATCGACCTTCCAAAGCTATGCCCTTAGAAGGCACTACGGCTCCCTCCTGGCTCTCCCTCACAAATATCGTTCAGAACCCAGCCTTTCATCTGTGAGGAGATACAAAAACAGAGGAGGCCTTTCTACCCCCAGCACCCACTTGTCAGCCATGTGAGTGAGGCATTTTGGATAGGAATCCATCCAAATGGTGCCTGACCCTGACTGACACCATGAACCTTCCCTGCTAAACCATGCTCAAAGTGTGGATTTATGAGAGAGAACAAATACTGTTGTATGCCACTAAGTTTGAGGAGGAGTTCTTTTTTTTTTTTTTAACATTTTTAAAATTTATGATTATTGAGAGACAGAGAGACAGCATGAGCAGGGGAGGGGCAGAGAGAGGGGGAGACACAGAATCTGAAGAAGGCTCCAGGCTCTGAACTGTCAGCACAGAGCCAACACGGGGCTTGAACTCACAAACCACAAGATTGTGACCTGAGCCGAAGTCGGCCATTCAACTGACTAAGCCACCCAGGTCCCCTTCTTCTTCTTTTTTTTTTTAAGTTTTTTTTTTTTTTAATTTATTTATTTTGAGAGAGAGAGCAGGAGCACAAGAGGGAGATGAGCAGAGAGAGAGGGAGAGAGAGAATCCCAAGCAGGCTCACACCAGTGCATAGTCCAGTGTGGGGCTCCATCTCAGGAACTGTGAGATCAAGACCTGAGTGGAGATCAAGATTCAGATGCTCAACTGACTGAGCCCCTCAGGCACCTGTGGTAGTGGTTTCTTACACAGTAATTGATAACTGGCAATCCCTTTCCATAATGCTGCCTATAAATGTGGGGCTAATAAAAGCAGCATTAAAGGAATTTAGGGGATGGAGGAATAGGGGAGGGACGTCAGAGGGGAAGTCTTCCAGGAGAAAGTGACCTTTTTTTTTCTTTTTTAATTTTTTTTAAAGTTTATTTTTGAAAGACAAAGAGAGTGAGCAGTGGAGGGGCAGAGAGAGAGGGAGAGAGAGAATCCCAAGCAGACTCCACACTATCAGTGCAGAGCCTGACACGGGGCTTGAACTCACAAACCATGAGATCATGACCTGAGCCAAAACCAAGAGTTGGACACTTTAACGCACTGAGCCACCTAGGGATGCCCCCCCCACTTTTTTTAAAGTAGGCTTCATGCCCAATGTGGAGCCTGTCAAAGGGCTTAAATTCATGACACTAAGATCAAGACCTGAGCTGAGATCAAGAGTCTCACATTTGGAGTACATAGGTGGCTCAGTAGGTTAAGCATCTGACTTCAGCTCAGGTCATGATCTCATGGTTCGTGGGTTCGAGCCCGGCGTCAGCCTCTGTGCTGACAGCCAGCTCAGAGTTTGGAGCCTGTTTCCGATTCTGTGTCTCCCTCTCTCTCTGACCCTCCCCTGCTCTCTCTCTCTCTCTCTCTCTCAGAAATAAAAACATTAAAAAAAAAAGTCTCACACTCAACCGACTGAGCCACCGAGGGCCCCCAGAGGTGACTTTCCAAAAACAACTTACTGAGAAATAATTCACTAGCATATAACTCACCCGTTTAAAGTTGAGTGTAGTTCAGTGGCTTTTATTATATGCAGAGTGTGCTGTCATCACAACAATCAATTTTAGAATTTTGTCATTACCCCATAACGAAACCCCACTTCCTTTACCCATCATGCCCAATTCCTCTACCCCCTCACCCCCAAGTCTAGGGCAATTACTAATCTACTTTCCGGTAGATTTGCCTATTTTGGACTTTTCAAGTAAATGAAATCATATGAATCATTTGTGATTGACTTTTATATAGCACAGTGTTTTCAAGGTTCATCTGATTCTAGTGCATCAGAACTTCATGGCTGAATAATATTCCATTGTATACATTTTGGGTGTCCATTTTATTTATATATTCATCAGCTGATGGACATTTGGGTTCTATTTTTTGGCAGCAAGTAACTTTTTGATATTAAGATTTCATCTCTCTGAGTTAACCATCTCATCAAAGCCGTATTTAATACATATTCAGCTTTATTGGGGGAAGGAATAGATATTATAGTCATGGTTTCCTTAATGAGATAATATGCAGAGATATTATTATTGGACATAGTTTTTTATTGTCTAAACACTTCTTTTCAGGGTTAATCGATAGTTTCTTTAAATAATATCTCTGCCTTCCTTGGTTGAGCAACACTGGCAAGTAAAGATATGTCATAATCAGGAAAATCTTACATTTCGTTTAACAGAGCCAGGCACAGCCAATACTTCTATATGCTGATTTCAAATCCCCAACCAATTATTCTTGGGGAAAGAAGCACAGCATCGTAATTTGTCAATTTACAGTTCTGAATGCTTTTCATCTCAGGTGTACTAATCATGATCTAATTTAAAAGCACACTCTGAGTAAGATGGGTTACAGAAGGGATTTGAAATAAGAATTTAAGGGGTGCCCGGGTGGCTCAGTCAGTTAACCATCCGCCTCTTGATTTTGGCTTGGGTCATGATCTTGCCCTTTGTGGGATGGAGCCCCACATTGGGCTCTGTGCTGACAGTGCAGAGGCTGCTTGGAATTCTCTATCCTTCTTTCTCTCTACTCTTCCCCCCTGACTCTCTAAGAATAAATAAATAAACATTTTTTAAAAAGAAATTAATTGAAGGAATTGGTTGGATAGATGACAGAGGAACCAAGATGCCAACAGAGAACAGTGAGAGAGCCCAAAGGACAGGAGTTAGTAGGAAGGAGTTACTCTACTTAGGACTTGGATATAAGAAAGAACTAGTGGTAGTTACAGAGTTCAGAAGCTGCAGCAGAAAGGAAGCTGGAGCCATGTCAGGACCCTCTAGGAGAAGCTGGAGAGAAGGTTACTTTAGATTTTTAATCAGAAGCAAAGAAGGGAGAGAAAGATTGGCTTCCCTCTCAGTTCTTCCCTCCACTGAAACCAGACAGAAGTCGGCTGACATGGGAACCTGGGAAGTGAGCTTGCAGGGTCAGTCTCCTCCCCAAGATTTCTTAGGTATGACATCAAAAGTATGACTCATAAATGAAAAAAATGGATAAATTGGCCTTAATAAAAATAAAAATTTCTATTCTTCAAATGAGACTGTTAAAAGGATGAAAATACAAGCCTCAGAAAATGTTTACAAATCACGTGTTTGATA